AGGCAAAAGGAGGTCCAACATTATCTTCCCAGCGAAATCCTAGACCCTACATTCCCACACGGCCCGCTGAACCTGCCCCCACCCACTACGAGGGTGGTCAGACATTGAAGATACACTTCAGTCTACGCACCGTTGGGCGGAACCGATGGAGAATGGACGACGACAGCTCCTCGACGGGCGAGTCCTAAAATGAAGGCGCTAGTGTGTTTTGTGAAGCTTTGGCAAAGGGAACAAGAGTCAGTACTACTTTTCTTTACGTGCCAAAGCCATCATTCCAGACCTTCGTTTTCCTTTTCGTCATGAGGCGGCACCATGATTTTTGCAGCATTCGCGCTTTTTGGAAGAAGGAATATTGACAGCCACCCATATTGCTTCACCACAACGCCTTCCCTTCGGAGACCCCAGAACAACAAGCATCTTTGCATGTATTAGGGTCCCCCAAGGATTGAGCATCAGGATCCGAAGTTCGAATTCAATGAAGAATTCAAAATTTCCTGTGAAGACGAACGTACCATAGTTGTGGACGCAGCTGGCCTTACTTTCAAGATCTGCTTCGTTGTTGTCACTGGTGGCCCATGCCATTTGCACATGAACACTAAGCGTACAGACGGACACCCTTCAGTATGCTGACCTAAGAACCGTACTGTGGAGCTTTGCGTCCGGAGTTGTCATTCTCATCTTGTGGCAAGTTCGGGTAACATGTCGGTGTACAAATGTCCTGTCGAGCTTTGACTTGACAGTCGGAACCATTCGACCTTTAGCTTATCTTATCAGGACACTGGGGATGTGCTTAATTAATGTGCCACTGTCAACCGCTGGTCTTCTTGCTGTCCCTGAGCATCCTCGGCTTCACGTCTGCCCTATGCTGTTTGCGAAGTACATGCTCCCTTCTGCTCTCCTGCTCTCTGAAATTTGGTTTCCTGCTGTCAACTTAAACGTCGACTTGACAGTCCAGACGGCTTATGGCAATGCAGGAGGAGCTCATGGCAAGGTGGAATTCCAAGGACGCAGAGAAAGAGAGAGAGCATTCTCCTGCGGTTGTGGTATCTACGCTGCATGTTAGAGGCTCTTCTGGACACGGAGATCCGGCTGATGCAGCCCAGAGTCGTGGAGTTCTTTACGAAGCGCTTCAAGACGCGGGGAGCTGACTGGACTTCTTGAGGCGGACTCCGAGCGCAAAAAATTGGCTGCGGCTGGGAGGCTCTGGTGCCCCTACGGAACCCAGCACGGCTGGCACGAGTGCGCAGGGCTAAGCAGTGGAGAGGAGTGGAAGAAGGAAGGGAAGGGCCAAAGACGCGGTCTTCCAGCAAAGAAGTCCACAATTTCACAATTTCTTTTCCCCCCTCCAACCCCTGTTTCCAATTCCTCTGAGGCCTCTACGCTCACACGGACCAGGCGTGAACGTTTCATTTTTCCCCTCTAAGCTTCCCCCCTCTCTTTCTCCTCCGTCGGAGGACTGGCGGCGGCGGCCAGAGCTGGGCTACAGCAGCGAGCCCTGCACGGAGTCCCTCGGAGTCGAAAAGAGAAGAGAAGAGTGTTGAGTTGTTGAGTGGAGTGTTGCAAAGGGAAAAACACAACAATGGAGGCCCAGTGCACGTGGTGCGCGCGTGGTGTGCGTGGTGAGGTGGGCCAAGCATTTGGGTGAACGGCTCCAGTACACCGAGCGTGCTCCCCAGAAGCTGTGAAGCTGTGCCCTGCGCGCTTTGCGGTTTGCTCTCCCCATCCAAATGTCATCGGAACTGGGAGGCGATGTAGCAAAGGCCTGCGGTGCTGCTTTGCCCATGGCTCGAAGGACAGCATGCCGGTTCAGCCTGTGCGAGATGCGTTTCATACCGCACCATAGGAACAGCTGTATCATCCCGCCTACTACAAGACGCCCTGAGCTGAGTGAAAAGGCATGCCCTTTTGGCAACCGCTTCCCCCAAGCCACAAAATTCTCTTTTAGATCGAGTTTGAGATTTTTTCTGGAGCTCAGGATGCCGTGCACGGACTGGGCGGCGGAGGGCCGCTGCCCCCGAGGTTCCCAGTGCGCCTTCTACCACGGCCTGCATGAACAGCGCCGAGAGCTCTGCGAGGCACAACATTTAAGACAAAATTCGAGATGAAAAGGGGTATGCTGCTGTGCTTCGTGCTTCTTGTCAGGCCACGTCGCCGAGCAGGAGCAGAATCGGGAAGTGAGAAGCCCCTAAAGGAGAAATGCATCCATGGTACGGCTGCCATGGAGGACAGTGCAGAGCCAGGCGAGCCTTCCACAAAGCTCAGGCCGCCTTGGCAGCAGACTTGATCTTGAAGGTTTTTTGAAACAATGTGTTAAACGACAGCACACCGCAACTTGCAACGACCACGCCTGGTCACACTGGGGAATGCGAGTGTTTCCAATGCAGCGGAGTGGCCACGAAGGTATTGGCAGGCATAACTTTGGAGGACTTAGAAGACTTTTCGTTCCTCCTAAAGTTTCCTAATTACCTCTCCGAACGCCTGCACTCCTTCCTCTCTCTGAGATTTCTGAGGCGCAGGCCTGGGCCTCGAAGGCCTCGGCCGCTGGGCGCAGAAGCGGAAGGAGGTCTTCTCGGTGCCTCGACGGGAGCGCAGGTTGAGCGGTTGAGCGGTGGAAGCTCCGCGGAAGCTTAAAAAAAGAAGGAAGTAGTAAGGGAGAAGATGTATCCACGACGTTGTAGAGTGTCTAGAAGTTGTCTAGACCTGTGGAAAGGTAGACTCCGTGGTAGGTAAGGCTCGGGCCTTTGTCTGGAAAGGGGTAGCGAGGCGAGAGTTGTGTTATGGGCTGAAGGAGAAAGAGAGAATTTGAGTTGACGACTTGTTGACCTGTGGTCAGAGGTGCAGGACCTCGAGGCGGCCTTGGCTCAAAGCGTCGGGGACCCAGCAACGGGGCGAAAACGCGGGAAGTCTGGGAGCTTCGCTTTTTGGAAGCGAAGCGCAAATGCTTCAAGATCTGCTAAGCCGCTTTCAGCTCTGAGGTCCATGAGGCCACCCGGCTGGACCCTGTGCGGAGCCAAGACGCAACGACGCAAACGACGCAAACGATGCAAGTCGCTGGCCAGTGGCCCGCGTAGGCCAGCGACTTGCGCCTTTGCCTTTGTGGACCTCTGAGGCCAGCATGGCCGCTTCCAGCGTGGACGGGGCCACGACACTCAGCGGAAGAAGCGGAATGAGGCGATAGAGATCCGTCTCAGTCACTGTGTCACACAGAGTCATACAGGAGTTACTTTCTGACAGCCAATTCGGCCGAGCCAGGACCTCCTTTGGCTCCTTAGCGTCGCTGGCATCGCTGGCATCTTCGAACTCAGCCGCTTGTCGGTTCCAGAAGCTTCAGCAGCTTGAATCGAAGTAGCCTAAAGCAGCTAGCACCTACAGATCTTGTTCCCTTCGCTTCGCAGGGATCGCCTGCAGTGGGCCCTTTGGCCGATGCGCCGCACGTGCGGCACGTGGTAAACACAGAGCTGGAGCCCGCTTATGCCGCAGAGACTGCAAATGGATGCAGATGGTGATAGCGACTTAGGGGCGGTAGCTGCCGGCAGCTACCCTTTAAACTAGCTGTGAGGCTGCAGAGTCCTGAGGTGCGGCTTCCACCCATGTGGGAAAACCATGGTCACCTGAATCCTTTCCCAGAAGATGACGAGGCCAAGCGGCGTGAAATGGAAGCATGGCTTGAGAACTGAACAATGAGTTGGACAGGCAGCCACCACGCGAAGCTTCCGCTTGTGAGTCGCTAAAAGCCGACTGGCCATTTTCACTGCATGTGTAAGTTAACCAAGATTGCCCGGTGTCGGAGGTCTTGGAATCCGTTGACGTGTGCAGTGTGCTCCTGGTGGGCCAGTGTAGCAATCGCTACGGGGTTGGCATGGGCCAAGAGATGCGGATTCTGTGGCAAGGGGGGTACAGAAGGGGCCGAGGCCGAAACCCCTCTTTTGAAAAGAGGGCGTGGTGGCGAAAGAAACCCCTCCTTTCCTCCTTTTTCCTAAAGCTCGCCTGCTCGGCTCAGACTCGGCTCTGTGCTCACTTTGTGTGTAAAAGTTCGCTCTTTGGTTCGTTTCCTGTTTCGGGATGTTTCGGCTCCCTCCGCTTCCGCCTGGGCAAAGGGGTCACTTCTGTTTTCCAATTCGTGACCTTTGTGGCCTTCCTGGCCCAGCTTGCCCAGCTTGTAAATAGCCACGCAGGAGGCTAAGAGGCCAAATGTGCTGAGACGACAGATGTTTCATGTTGCTGGAGTAGGAGTGAGATTTCAGAGGGAGTCAGGGGGCTAGCCGTAAGTGCTAAGACAAACTTGGTCTCCTGCGTGATTTGTGGCTCTGTGAGTTATCTGTGAATTTGTTCATCTGTGAATTTGCTCTCTTGGAGCGTCAAGGGCGACGGCCCGATCCGAAGACTTTAATCAAGCAGGAGAAGAAGGAGATGGGGAGAAGCAAAATGTGATGCTTCTAGTTTTGCACAGGGCTAAGTCCTTCAGCCTTCTTCTTCAGCCTTCCCGGGGATCAACCCTGCTTTACACAACCGTGCCTGCGGAAAAGAAGGCCAGATCAGCATTCTAATGATTTCACGCCAGAAGTCCACGCAAGCCTTGGCAGAGTCACACAGGATGCACGCGGATGCACGTGTCAGATCTCCTTGGCCCTGAAGCGCATTCTGAGCAGCTCTGGGGGTTTAGGCGCAGCTTTCCAGGGAGTGCAGGTCAGGGCCTGCGGCATCTGCGGCCTGTCTTCAGTCAAGGGCTCAGTGCAGGGGGAGAGGCCAGCAGAGTACTTCAACACCTTGTCGCTCCTTGAATGCTACAAGATGCAATGGCTTCACTATTTGCCCATACTTTTGTGACGACTCATGAGTGCAGTCGACAATTTCGGGCAGAGCATCGGTGCCAAATCAAAACCCAACATGTCGTCCCCTGTCGGCGAACAATGATAGCAGACTCGAACAACTCCCGATGGTTTCATGCCTGTTTTTGGATGTGAAAAAGGACACAGGGCAAGCCGTCAGATCCAGGTCCACAGACTGTGTTGTTTCGCTGGTTTCGGCGATGCTTGATGGCTTTAGGTCCTGTGCCAAGTAATGGGTTTGGAAGACGACACGCTCATTTGCTTTTCATGGCATTCTGGTTACAGTATTGCTGCGTGCCATTTCTTTGGGGAAGTAGTTGGATCAGATTTAGGCCATGGGTTTCTTGAGCTAGAGAGCTACTCTTGTGTGGGGATGTCCTACAGCCTCTTCATTCAGGTCAGGACATGGTGTTGAGCTTCATGCCCTACAGTTTGGCACTTTGCTGCTACCTGATTCGATGGCCCCAGTTGGGTCACATAGCCGGCAAGCGATATACTCTTCGAGCTTTCTGGTCATGAGCCGTTTGGTAGTGGCTCCGGGTCCCCCGCAACCAAAGTTCATGTCCCCTCACCCACACTGTTGAGAGGATCGAGAAATCTAAAACCCGAGGCGACGACAGCATAAGTCTCATGCAGGTCACCACAAGTCTTGGAAATGAGGACCTACGTGGACAGTCCCAGCATCTCAAATCCAGTCTCGTTGATTTTTGGGTGCATCCTGTGGAAGTGCCAGGCTAGTGGCTGAGCGGAGCGGAAGGTAGTTGACCTGAATTTCATGTTGTGCCGCCATTTGGTCAAGTACTTGCTTGGTGTATGGTAATGGTTTGAAGCTCTAGAAGGTTGCCGGAGGCCAAGGTCATGCAGGTTGGTATGATGACCCAATGCCCCTCGAGACCCAGAGTGATAGTGACTGGGCTTCCTCAAAGGGGCATCGCCGCAGCGTGTCATCATCCATGGTGTTCGTGGCAGGCAATTTGCTGTAAGCAGGTGCCAGCGACTTGTCAGTTTGAGCAGCGCAGAAGCTGAAGTCCACGCCGCAACATCAACCATGTGTGACGGGATCTTTGCAAGGGTGTTGATCGAGTTCTGCGCAGGTCATTTGTGCCAGGTGCATCACCATCTTGATTCCACAGCTGCCGTGGGCATTCTTCAACGCTCTGGAGTGGGTCGCATACGCCATCTTTCCACACGTGTACATTGGAGGCAGCAGGCAGTTGCGGAGGCCAAAGTTGTGTTGCGTGAGATCAGCACGGATCTTAATTATGCAGATTTGGGCACATGCTGCAGTTCCTTTTTGGGTTCATGTGACGCATGGGGAAATGCCATCGGGGAAGATGATTACCTCGAGTTCACGGTAAAACAGCAGTTCAAGAAGGCAGTCAAGGCTGCTCAGAAGGTTGCCCCAGGTCAGGTGAAGGCGCGTGTGATGCTGGCCGCTCTCATGAGTGTTGCCCACTCATCAAACGCCTTGAGCCCGGATGATGAGCCCAAGGATCATGATGAGCCCGATGATGGATGGATGAGCACGATTATGAGCCGTATGTCCGATGCCATGGCGTGGATGATCGTGTTGTATGAGCAGTGCCCTGGATTGTTCACCGTGGTTGTCCAGGTTGCGTTGATGATCCTTGCGTTTATGCTGTGGAAGTTGCAGTCACCGCAGTTTGCCAAGTCAGGTTCAGGCAGCGCCGCAAGATCATGATCAGGCAAGAACAGGTTCCCAACCACCACAGGTGCTCAGCAGGCTCAGCATCCGCAGCATCGAGTAACCCAGTGCCGGAAGGTGTGCCAGCAGCCAGGTCAAAGGCTATGCTCAAGGCAGGTCCCAGGTTGGACGGTGGAAGTACCACCGCATTGGATGCGGGAAGCTGAGTTGTGCACACAGGGTCGATGAAGTCCTTGTGCCAGAGGCCCGGGCACGTGGTTACACGGCGTGCAAGGTGTGCCAGCCAAGGACAGAGTGAAAGGTTGCAGCCACGTAAGCACAGAATTTGTAAGATTTTCTTGAAAATACGAGTTTGACTCGTTGGAGCTGGGAATCGGGCAGCGGCTCAGCCGAGCACAGCGGCGTACCCAACATCAACTCGTTGTCATTGTACGAAGTTTGAAAATTTCCTTGTTGAGAAAACCATGCAACCATGCCAATGCTTTTGCTTTGAACACCGAATTTCTTGAATGTGCCGAGAGGGCATTCTTTTGATATGGGTACATTGGAGATGGCCCATGTACTTTAGGATAAGGATCCTATTGCCAGAATTTCATTTGATGGGCAGCACAATGCTGCATAAGCCAGCTTGAATTGCCGTCATGGTTGAAAACACGTTTTCGTCACTTGTGATGTGCATCAACAACTTGATTTCGAATTCTTGCGCAACGCCTCCTCTTGGGTGAGTCAAGAAAACCACCTTCCCTGGAACTGCCCGGTTCCCCGGACTGTGGGATGCGTGGGTTTTTGAACAGCATAGTGCGTAGTGCGTAGAAACCATTTCAAGCCAATAGAGCTTGGAAAGCACTGTAGTTTGTTGTTGGTTGTACGATGTTTTTTGGAAAGCTGTGTACTCAACAAGACGTTTGAGAATCCATCATTTGCGATGTCACATCCAGCAATGATGGAGGCGGGGTGACAAACGTTTTGTACATGTACATGTACATGTCCCCTGATTTGTATCTCCAAGACTACTATGTTTTGCCATGCATGTGAAAGCATGATGACCATGGATTGCAGACACAGGCGTTTGAGTGTTCGATGCAAAACAATCACATACACACCAGGCTCAACCCGATGGTACAGCTCGGCGGCTTCGCCGGTGGTAACACTCACACCACCACGCGCGCGCAGTTCCTTGAAGAAGATCCCGTAAGGCTTGTTACCGATGGGCCTCAAGTACTGCCGGGCTTCCAAAGCAATCCTTTCCTTATCTCTGGACATCGAACCAGCAGGATTGCGACGGCGGCGCGCGGCCGCATCGTCCAGTGACAATGAACGGGGTCACCTTGAGCCGCTCTCGTAGCGTTCGGCCATTTTGGTTGGTTTCCAAGAACAGCCCCCAACTGGAAAAGGTATGCTAAACTCTAGAGTGTGGAACGTTACAGGGCCCCCATTTTTACGGGTGTTTTTGGCTGTGCCTCCATTCCCTTGGCAGCAAGAATGAGGAGGACTTTCCTTGGCATGTT